ACGCCACGAAGAAGAAAAGATCGAAAACGTGCCGTTTCTCGTTCCGTCCCCCCACATTTTTTATCTCCGTTCATTTGGCACTGACTATCGCGTACTATGTATCTATCTATCGTCGATTTATGAATCAGAGAGAAAGGAATAAACTAAAAAAAAAATTTTGCAAGAATGCACAAACTAGTATTGAATGAATTGAAATTTTATTTCAAAAACATATGATGTCCGGCTTGCAATTTATGCACATTTCGAACTTGGCAGATGGAGAATTTGCAAATAAATTTTCCCGAAAGGCTCGGGAGGGCCCTCTAGAAAAACACAAGCAAGATCCGACCCTTAATCAATCTCGTTTACTTCTTTGAATCTGCCTACTTCTTTCTTATTAAAAACAGTTTTTATAGTATACATTATGGACGAGGGTCCTTGTCGACCATGCTTGCAAGCATGTCAAGGTTTCAACCGTCGTTCTATTTTATTCATTTTCCGCGGCATACAGGAACAAGGTCGATCCTGCCTTGCGTCTTGCGGGAATAGAAGCGGGGTCGGGACTTACGGGACGGGTATAAGGCCCCGATGTTGTTATTCCGGGCCGCTCGTCGTGGGGACCATTCTTGCATTCGCAACGCGACCTCAAACGACGCGACTTACCTCGTGCGAACACCTTATAGGCCCATAAAAGGGGCGCATATGGGGAATTGAGAAGTCGCGGAACAATTTAGTGTCTTTAGCGCTTTGTACACTTGTCTCTGTTTCTCGACATTGAAATATATGACATATACTTTAATTGACGAAAAAAAAAAACAGAGTTCTCCCTTCAGCGATTTGAGTCAAATTTTGCTGGTGGAATTATACTATAATGTAATGTACTATAATATAATGTTTGAATTACAAGGTGGTTAAAAATTATTTTGCACATTAAAAAGAATTTTTTTTCTATTTGTTAAATAGAATTATATTTATAATGATTATTGATACATACCTATAAAAAATTAATAACTTTTTGAAAACGACTGCAAAAATTTTATTTAAAAAATACCACTTTTCTACTTTTAAAAAATTATATTATATATTCTTGTGTTCTTATCAATATTTCGAGCAAATATGAGTTGAAACATTAAATGTGCGCAACTGCTTTGTTAATATTATTATATCTATTCGCTCAGTTTTTTTAATATTATTTCTTCTTGGAATATTTGAACAACTCAAATCCTTGAAGCCACCCTTTTGCATCTTGTGCACTTGTCTTCTCTCCGCTACCGAAGCGAAAATACAAAAAATATTCACCTTTCATATAGCGGTCGTTTATTCGCGGGGCATATCGAAGATCAGATGAAGCGATAATATTCACAGGTGGACCACATACAGTGGTTCCCCTTTCTATATTTATATCGTATATACAACACACGCAGTGAGCCCTTAAGATTTATTGCGCACTCGTAATTACGACGCCGGACCCCTGGGTTTCCCTTAATAGAGTTCCATGGGTATTCTAATCGAAACTATCGTAGTCACGGCAAGAACTTCAAAGGGAAGGATTTTGTATGCAGGTACCTATGGCGTGTGATCAAATTAGGTAGATCCTTATCTGCTACGACAATTCCTCGGAAATTGGCCTATCGCAAAGATAGAATAATTTATGGATGATTTTAAATACAGTCTTTTGATATAAAAATACGTTTCATATTTTTTCTCAATATTTCTCATTATTTTCTGTTCTAAAATATTACAAGACTGGTGTTTTAGAAAAATATAAATTTACATGGAACGTTTAAAAAGATATATATGTAATAACAGTTTTTTTCTGGGATCAATAATATTTTTATAAGTAATTTCCTAGTTTTTACCGTAGTCATGCGACAAAGCAAGGAAGCCCTTGCGAATAAAAAAATACTTTTATTCGGATCGGTTTACAGTTCGTTTCTAGTCAAGTTCGCAATTCATGATGTTACGTCTCGCGGAGTAAAATAATATGCACATATACGCGTAAAGTCTCCCTTTCAAATGTATGAACAGTAGAACGCTAGGTATACAATTTAGTGTGTATAACTATAATATGTATATCGTATAGTTGCAAACCGGAAACAGACGGAAACAATGTCCTATCGCAGGTGCGGACTGGCTGTCATACCCCGTTTATTTTGAATGACGAACTAGTGTCTAATTATGCAGACAAATGCCTTTCGTCGCTGTTACTTGTAGTCACTCATCCAAAAGGAACAACTCATCGTCGACGAACATTCCGAAGGTTTTAGGTATTCCGCATGTCATTTTGCCTAGCATGACTCGCCACTTACAAGCGTTAGAAGAGACTACGTTGCTTAAAACCTCCGGAAATGCATTAGAAAATGATTTTGCTTCAATAGATCTTTTTAATTATAAGAAGAATTTTTCCTTTTCTCTCTCAAAATTTAAATATTATAAATTTAATAAAACAATTTTTTATGCAATGGCAGGGTGTGGTCCAGGTTTAGTTCTGTGTTGAATTAAAAAATATACTTTTAATAATTAAATGTTATTTTTGGAAAAGAAATACGATAAAATGTGTATTTAAATTTAAAAAATATATATTTGATGGTTAAATGATATTTTTTTCAGGAAAATATATACGATGAAATGTGTACTCGATATTTGTATTCGACTTTATATACCGTTCCAGTGAATAATAAAAATAAATGCACGTAAAATTTATAAAATAAATGTAACGAATTCAGTTAAATATCAAATTTTTAAGCCAAAACGGAGATTTCCGTATATTCGCCTTCTGTACGAAAGATTTTTCTGTACACCCTAATGGCACGTGCGCTTCGCGAGGATTCTTTCGAAGAAATACGTTGAGGAAATCCTCCTCATAGATGTCAGATAACCATCATCTTCGCCACGTATCGACATCGGGGTTCCACCTAGCGCTGGATCGAGCGATACCAGATGGGACCCACACTGCGCGTTTCACCACCATATGGGCAGGTGCCGAGACCGTTTTTACGTGCGCGTAGGCCGGTAGTAATGGTAGTGGTACTCTGTCGCGACAGACAGATATTCGTATACATATGTAGATACACGAGAAGTGCGAGCACGCATACGTGAGCGCACGCGAAAAAGTGCAGGACAGGAGAGTATACGCGCGCGCGCGCGCAGCATGGCAACAGCCTGTATGCAAATGAATGCATTTTTATACCTAGCTAGTACAATGCGCCGCACCCCCCCTCGGTGAACCGTTAAAAGTGAAAACCTGCTGCTGCTGCTACTGCTAGTGCTGCTGCCACCGCTTTTGCACACGCTGTCCCGGACGCGATTTTAAACGCGCGACTTTTCAGGAAGTTTCCTTCAGGGTCAAGATCAAGATGTATATGCATGTGAATTCAAATGTACATACATCCAAATCGCGCTTTCTCTCAACCTTAAACGGAGACTGCTTAAATCTTTTAAAATGAAAGGCAGAGTAACAGTTACGTAACTGAAAATATCCATGCATGTATAAATCTAATACAGATTTAAAAGAATAATTTATGAGTGCGCGAATTACAAAAGATAAGACTATAGATTTATTTTAATTAATTAATGTTTTTAATCTTATTAATATTACTTTTTAATATTGAAAGCCGACATTTGATACTTCGAACTCACTTTAATACACTTAATTTAATAATATTTATTGCAAACTAGTAAAAGATCTATATGTATTGTATATTATAAAAATGATAAAAAAATTGTAACGTTTCTGGATACCCTGTACACATATTAAGTCGAACAAAAGAAATTGATAAGTATATATTCAAATTAAACAGAAATTAAACTCTAGTTATTTATTTTTATCTGCAAATCTATAACGAAGCTTCTTTTTGTAGTCCAGTCTTAATATTTCTTCAAGAGCCAAAAAGAAAATGAATGTCAATGTTCACGATAGTGTTGGCTATTTCCAATCTCGAATTACCAAGTTAGGCGAAAATCATGCTCAAAAGAAGGACCTCGATTCAACCTGGCGACCGTGGTGAACCTGCATTCATGCGAGCTAATCGAATCAGCAATTTCGCGAGTCAGCGGCTGCATGTGCAGCGACAACAGCCACAAGAGCCGAAACGAAACAATAATTCAGCCTGTACGCTCGACCACGTCCTTTTTTTTTCCCTCACTCGTCGTGTTCCGCGCTCGATTCTTCTCGCCTACGAAATTACGCTCCGCGCGCGGGGAGCGAAAGAGAGAACGGGCGCATCGGCACTCGGTTTTAGGGGCCGTTTAAGGGATCGTTAAGCACGGTGCCTAGGCAAGTGCTAACTCGTGAAACCGTCTCTCAGGTGTACGGCGGCTTTCACCTGTTTCGCTATTTCCCGTATGTCGCGACAGGTGTACGTCACTATCTCCCTTTCTTCCTCTCGATTTCGTCGCGAGGTTTCCTGTCGCGTTTTGTGTATATCGTGTCGTGTACACGTTTCTCCCTACGTAATTAGGCGATCACCTCGCTTTCGGCCGGAAGGCGGTCCTGGCGAGATGTCGACCTTATCGAGACTTAGCGAAAGCCAACGACTTTCCCATTCATGTGTACTCCCGTTACGTTTTACGTACGCCGTATACGCGTGCGTCGTGGATTAATGACAGCCCGGTCCGGCCCTCGCACTTCCTTTGCACGAAGGAAATAGTTAGATTGGACGTGAAGAACTCTCTAATGAAATGTTATTACCGGGGAACACGCGGGGGGAAAGTGATGTGTTGAGGTGAAAATAATCGCTTCGTGGTTTTGCGGTTTCCGGAACACTTGACATACATTAGAATTAAAAGGACGATAATTCACACATAAAAAGAATGGCCTAGAAAATTAATTATGCACAACGTTGAAAACGCTTTCTGTTTTAATAAGAAATTCAATGAATTTGTTTAAAATATAAGTCGCGCAATTTTACGAGACATAATTAATTGTTATGTCGATTTTGAAGTTCCTTGAGAAACTCTCACCTATTAACAACCTTTCCAATTATTTTTAAAAATCATTATCATTCTCTCTTCTCATTTAGCATCTAGAGATGCTGAAGTGGACAGTTTCGAGATCGTTGTCGACAACCAGTTCGACACCCCACGGTCCACCTACCTTGAACAAACCTCCCCGCCGGCCTTTCCGAGACTTGTCCAACACGCCACCAACTTCTGCTAGCTGCCGAACCAGGCAGGTATCTACTCAGAATGTGTCGAACACATCTAGAACAACGCCGGCTCGGAGGAGAAGATGCAGGAGTAGCGGAACTGACTTGAGGACATATTTTCAGGTAACAGTAAGTTCCTTCCTTTTCTCTTATAATAATACGATATAATAAATTGAAGAAATGTGATAGTACAATGTTAAAGGCTATATAAAAGACCTAAATTTCTGATTCTGCTTTGATTAATGTAGCGTTCTTTGATTAATGTTCCTCAATGCGTTTCGCAGGCGACGAAGCCGAATTTGAGGTCGACTAAACGTCAGTCCGTGTCACAGGAAGCAGAGAATTCACCGGTGTCTGAGAGCTTCTATCAAAGTACGCCGAGAGTAGACACCGATATCGGACCGCTCACGTATTATCCACCAGGTAGCAAGTGCTCAACGGCCTTGACCCTACCGACGGATCCCGCGCTCTTCATGAACAATTGCGCCAAGAACTTTCAGAGCGACAACGAGCTGCCGCAGAATGTTGTCAACGAGGCGCGAGCGAATCTGCAGTCGCATGTCTCCGACTTCTTCCACCAGATCTCGATGGCGACCAGCCCCGAAGACGTGATGGAGGCAGGTTCGATGCCCCTGGGTATCCCGAAAACCAAAGTTTATTCTCAGAACGTCGAACAGAAGACACGGTCGGTGAGAACGCCGTATTTACCAAAGTTGGCGAAAATCACGAAAATTCATTCGCGATGCCGGACACCGTATCACACTAAGCTCGCTCAAGCAATAAGTCCCTTCAAGCCGAAGGCAGCTCAAGGACAGACGCCGCTCGTCGGAAAATTGTCGAGCCTCACCATAGATCAGGACTTACCGAAGTACGAGAATATGGACAACACAGTCACGGAAGTGCTTCACAGGTAAGATGTTAATAATTACAGAGATAATTGAATTGATAATGACGATATAATAAGCAGAAATGTGATTTGTTGATTTTTGACCGCTATTTTTTGTTAGTTTTAACTGGAGCGAATTTATCTTGTATGAAAGGTGATCGCGATGTTGAAAATTTAAGAAATTACACTGTTAAATTCGTAGTGTATCCAATTATATTCAATTTAAATCATTTCAACCATTTAACCATATTATCATTGCTCCTCAATATGTCATTAATTTAATTAAATCAATATTAATTTAATTAAACCAATGGAGTTAAAATAATAAATTTCGACACACATGATAGCTAAAAATAATAAAATGTTATTTAACTCAAGGTATTGCTTTAAATTTTATACTTTAATAAATTAACAGTGTATACATATACATATATATATTATATAATGTATAAAGTAACGAGAGAATAAATTCACTATGACACAAATCCTCCAAATTAAAAATCTACGATGTGCAGAGAGCAAGAGGTCAATTTCGGAAGCAAGACTGTAGCGGAAATTCTCATGGTTGATGCCGAGGAAAGAAACAAGGTTCTAGAAGCGTCGTGCGAAAAACGACCGGATTCGACGACAACGGATCATACGTACGAGACTATCGCGGAGATAGTAGAGGAAGAATCGCCGGCGCGCAACGATAGTTCCATATCGTCGGTCAGTCAACTCCTGGAGGACCCTTCACCGGTATCTTGGGCTTTCACATCGCCTCTGAACGACCTCGATGGTGAGTTTACGCTGAAGAGGCAACGTGGCATTCGCCGGAAACGTCCGCGAAAGGACGGCGACAAAGCGGTGGACGGCAAACGGGCCAAGAGGACGTGCAGTCCCTCGATAAAGGAGGATCAGATCACGTTAATCGAAGCCATCAATCCAAATGTGAAGAAGCTCGTATTAGAGACCGATCTCGACTCGACCTTGGACGAGAAGCACGTGCCGGCTACGAAGATGTCGTTCTACGATGTTGATGATCGTAAGGAGGACGATATTAGCAGGAAGACTAGTTCCTGGGACCTCGACAGCCTCAAGTCGTCCATGATGGATGATCTACATAGCTCGAAATCATTCGTTACTTCTATGTCGACAACTCCGGAGGTCCCCTTAGTCGCGACTGTCAGAAGATGTTTGAAATTCAGTCCCGAGGGCGAGCTGCCGACGAGATCCAATTGTCGTGGATCGATCGAAATCGAGTGCTCCCTCGTGGCGGAGCATATACACGTTCGAGGTAAGTTTACATTTGTTTTATATATGTATATTAATGGAGACACAGAGAGGAAAATGCGAGTATATCCAAATAAGATTTAAAAGTCACTAAAGTTTAAATAAAATATTGTGAATTTATCTGTTAATATTAAATAATTGGGCGTAATTAATATTAAAAAATAAAATTGATGTTAAAGTATTTTTGCCAGACACGCACAGTAAAAAAACGAAGCTAATATTGTACAATGTTTAAAAATAATTGTTAAAATATTATTGCTGCAATGCATTTTTTGCCGCAACTATTAAACATTATTTCGTGTATCTTCCTATTAAAAATAAAATAATATACGTTAGTCTTCAATTATGTCTAGTTACGGGGTAGCTTGCTACCCTCGCACACCCCTGAAATTTCGCTGCCACGAGACATGCGCCAGTTGCGTGTCGCGAGAGGAGGTGCTTCGAGGGCGCTCGGCACCCCGTACTCGGCATAATACTGTGCCAGTAACCCACAGACTCTCCCCGGCGACTCAATTCCGGTTAGTAAGCCCGTCGACATTGATCAACGTTACGTTGTCTTTGTCGCGTAAACAGTCGCGATCTTTTCTCGTTTTCAACGACGAGACCCGTTCCGGCGATTAGCTCTGCCAGTCGTTCTTTCCGCGTTTAGAGTGAAACGCGTCGCATTTGGTCGATGCGCCGTTTGCTGACGCATCTCTTACGTTCGTCTCGTAGAATTGGTTAAACGCCTTCGATTGGTCCCGCGAGACTCGTTCCCGTGACACCGTGACGACCTCCCTTATCGTCCTTCGTCACCCCCAGAAACCCTCGTTTAGTTTTTGTGTACGACGGTGAGTCGACGAGCGGGGCTAATCAGTGTACAACGTCGACACGATTTATCCCCGAAAACCTCGCTTATAATTATGCTGCGCTACTTATTGGTGCATGTAAACATTTCTTCTGTGGATATATATATTTCAGCAAAGAAGACACATCTATTTAAAAAAAAAAAGAATTATTTATAATAATGAATAGTGATGAATAGTGTGCGTATGTGCGTGTCTTTCTCTTGCCTAATTAATCTTACTCGTCGACTTATTATCGAGACGTTTGAAATTATTCGAGGCACAATACCATGATGCGTGGTAATCGCCGAAAAGTAGATCGCGCGATGCGTATCCTCGGCACGGATGGAGCTAGTGGCGAATGCCGCATCGGTCAGACGTCCTCGGGTGCAAGTAGTGAGTGCCGCGGTACAGTCGGCCGTAAGAGCGAGCCCGGAGCGTCGATTCTCCGGGATCCCGCCTGTCCGCAGTGCCGTCGCATAATACAAAATTTGCCACAATATGCAAATGAACAAATATATTCTATTCGATTATACGAATATTTTGTTTTATTTCAAAACAGTTTGGTTCAAGTAGATTAAAGTCTGACGTTAAAGAGATTTAGCGCAATCAAGTGTATTTACATAGGAAATTTACCATAAATTAAATCTAATCTGATTAAAATAGTAAAAGGCAGTTTTAACATTCTAAGAAAATGAAATAATGACGGAATTTAGTTGTCTCTAATTATTATTTATATACATCAAAATAAAAACCGCAGAATTACTATAAATAATAAAATAAATGTTAAAGATAGACTTGTTTGTGTTTTTACCGAAAATAAAATATAGGATATACATATATATATGCGCATATGTTATTAAAAATTTTTATTCTTCTAAAGATTTTTCAAAATAAAATAAATATGAAATAATTATATGATTATTAAATTAATGTGCAAAGCTAGATGCAATATCTATATTTATAATTGAACAAAATATGTTTAAATCGAGCAAATCATGCATCGTGAGACTATATTTCATTATCGGCTTTTAAGATACTCTTGTATTACTGCGTAAATTCACGAAGACAATAAGAGCTATAACTGTAAAATAATTGCGAAGCAGTGTAATTGCGGCAAATTAAAATGAGTACGTTACAAGATTAAATGTAGTGGAACTCGTGATGGCAAGCAAAGGAAATTGGCTAAATACGCTCTACGTAGCGGAGTTTATTGCTGCACGTGTTCAAGTGCTACATAGAAAAAAAGAATAGGTATTTTTTATTTAAAATCTTCAGTTTCAACGTAAAAAATCTTGAAATAAGATTATATTGCGTTAAACGAAGAAAACTTGGTTGAATAAAGTCATTATATAGTTCAATCAAGAAAAAAATGTTGAAATAAAAAGCTGAAATTCTTATAAGAAGATTATAGTGATCTTGCTTATATACGAAACAATCTATATCTTCTTATAAAAATTTCAACTTTTTATTTCAACATTTTTTTCTTGGTTGAACTATATATAATGACTTCATTCAAGCAAGTTTTCTTTGTTCAACGAAATATAATCTCATTTCAAGATTTTCACGTTGAAACTAGATATATTTTCAAATCAAGAATATTCTTTTTTTCTGTGTGTATATATATATATTACGAACATCTTCTTAATCTTTTCGAAAGTTCTTATTTATAAGAAAAATAACTGTTATATGGCTGTTTTTTTATGTGCAACCATAAATAAAACTAGACGCTGTTACATTATAATGAATAACTGGTCTTGATTACTGACAACGAAAGTGTTAGCTGGAATTAAAAAGAAGTTTGATTCTCGATATCCTTATTCACTTTCTTATTCGTTGCTTTCGCCTTCACAATTTCTTTCTATCGCCGATAAAATCTTGCCGGATAGAAGGAATGTGAAGGTGAAGTGAAAATGAAGTAGGGCAAAGGTCGTAACAGCGTGCTGATCCTTTTCATCACATTATCGAGCAGTTCCTCCTTTCCTACCATGCGAACATAAATCAGGGGAACCTCTAATAGCTACCACGGTGGTTACAACTATAAAATCTCCAATTTCAGGCGTTCAACAACCTTCGGCTTTAATAATTAAAGAAGGAGTCTTCTATTACGTTCACTAAAATATTCTATTACGTTCAGAATTTATTTGGTAACTTTTACTTTTTATTAGTATTTATAATTACTCACTAATTATTTTTTACTACGTTTATTACATTTCGGGATTAATTGATTTAAAGAGAGAGAGAGAATATTATTTCAAGATCCTTATTTTTTTTTAAAGATAGATAAATATAGGCTTATTACTTTTCGTAATTATCATCGTTCTATTTTCATATACTAACTGTAGTGAAATTTTTTGAAACAAAAATTTATATAAGTTTGCATGCAGTTATTTATATATTTTTAAATAAAATAAAATTTCTGAAACGAATAATATAATACAATGAAGCATATATCTATATATATATATTTCATTCTTTTATATTTTTATTCTCGCAGTAATAAGGTGTAAGGATCTGAGGCGGGCGTACGAAGGACCGGTGCACGCGTACGTCAAAGCGAGTCTAAAGAACATCAGCGGCGAGGGAGTCGTCAAGAGGACCGCAGTTCACCGCGCTACGCCGAATCCGGTGTTTCGCGAGACCCTTATACTCCCCTGTCCGGCATACAATAGTCACTGTACCGGTCACAGGCCCACGTCCCTGGACATCGCCGTCTGGCACCGGGATCGCCGTGCGAGGTGAGCATGCTCCGCGGAAACGAGAGAGAAAGAGAAAGAGGACTGGAGGAGAAGGTTTTCGATACTAACAATAAGATGCAAGAAGATACTGACATGAAATTAAGTCCGTAAATCTTGAGAGGCTGTGCTAAAGTTTCATACGAATCTGACGTCTCGTTCTCTGGAAATTTATTTATTAACACAAGAGTGCCTCTGCTTTGTGAAGATTAATTATGATTTTCTCAGGAAATCCGTACGTGAGAGACAGCCCGTGGCATGTTTAACGCATGATTAATTAAAAAGCTATCAAAAGGGAGATTGAAGAAATTAGATATGAAAGTAATCTAATCCACTTTTTGTAATTCGAGAAAAATAGATTTTGAAAAATAATTCGAGAAAATAGATTTTGACTTAAAGAAAATTAAATTAAAATAAATTTTCTCGTGAGCTCTTTTAAAGAAATGGATTAGATCCACTTCCGTAGATCAATCTTAAATTATTTACTTTTAAGTAAATTGTTAATTGTTAATTTTAAAATTTTACATTGCTAATTTTTAATTAATTGTGTAGAGACAAATATATTTATACGTAATATTTTTATACAATATAATTTCTTTGAAGAGGATAAAAAGCCAGGAATAATAGAGCAAACTCAGCACGAATTTTGAAACGTGTTTGCGGCTGCAAAACAGATTGCCGCGATAAGGCTTGAGCTATTTCACTTGTTTCGTAACAGTCAGAGCAGGGGAGAAATTAACCTCGGTCGGCGAGTCAGCCGCGATTTAATTCGTTCTGATAAAGCCTCGTAAACGATACGTCGTTAACTTAGGAGGCTCAACAAGCACGTGATATCTCGTACCGTGTACGAGATAGCGATCTCTCGAGGTACACCGGGGCAGTATGGCGTGGGAAAATCCCGTGAAATTCGTAAAGCAGGCACGAATTGCACTGCACGAGAGCCACAAGTAGTCCATCGAATTTATGTTAGTGGAGCAACAAATTTATCTGCCTTGTAGACTTATATCTTTTCTGTATTACTCGTGCATCTCTGTATAAATTCGCTTATTTTCTTATACGTATTGGCTGATCGTTCATCTATTACTGCGTTTATTTTTACGCGTGCACGTCGATATATCTTTGTCGTTCGTTAGATGTAAAACAAGGATAGAATGACGCTATAATAGTGCGCTCCGCGAACGCGCACCCATAGTATACTTCGCAAGAAAAGTTTCTTTATTTCGTTCGATGTTCAATCGACGATCGATCCCTTTTCTTTCGCCGTCTCGGCCTTGATTTGTTTATTCTTCGGATTGCTCAATCGAAGCAATTAACTTAATTTTAAATTGTTCTGAGAATTTCTCATATTGGAAAAATACCGTTCAAAAGAAGTTTCGTTTTCGCGAAAACAATACACTCTCCAAACCCTCCAGAATATGCCATTTGAATCATTTTAGCTTGAATTAATCACAATTGCAAAAATATTTATTTTAATAATTGTTTTACAGGCAAGTTTTTTCGTGCAATTTTGCATTGCAATGCATTTTGCAATTCAAATATTTTTATATATTGAGATTTTTCAGAAAAACGCTTACGTTATATAAATACCGAAATTGAAACTTTTTATCTCGACAGTTTTGCATTTTATTAAGTTGCTTTAGGTACAAAATGTCTTATTTAGCATTTTTGATATAAGCAAAATCTTGTTTAGGAAACTTCTTGAGTTTTTATAAGACGCGTTTCTGTATTCCGTGTTTCGATATACTTTTTAATAGATTAAGAATTGGAAGATTTTCAGCAATGCAGAAAATTACGCAATTCCGAACCGCGTGTCTTCTCGGTCGATGGTCCGTCCGAATATCTAAACTATTGTAATTTCTGGGGGTGTCCGAGGATTTCCTCTTTTGCGGTAGGAGGGGAATCGATTTCCCCGGATCATGCGCACCACGTTCACCACGTGCATTTCTCACCCCCTTTCTCACCCTCCTTCCTTCTCTATTCACATACAGTGCGCGAGACATTACGGTCACGCTGTATATACACCATGCTCCTCGCGGATAGACTATACACTTATATACAGCATACGCGTGTGTATGTGTCTACACGAGTTTGGCTACGTATTTTGCGGCTTTAAGCCGGACGACGGAAATTTATGCGTGTTTCCCTTTCCGCCTGTTTCAGACGTAGCGAGTTGCTGGGCTGCATGACTCTTCCTCTGCCTCTGTCCCAGGATAAGGTAAATATCACGGAACTTCGAGTATATATTCGAGATGTTCGATCGAGAGACACATCCGCTCTCGATTCGCTTTTCGAGCGTACATCGTACATCGTGAAGTACATCTACTAAAGTTTCTTGCTATATTAATTCTGGAGGTGTCTCCGAAAAGTTTCTCGCTATAAATTATTAAAAAGCTCACGTTCCCCTAGAGGAGGAGGGTAAGTATATCGAAACATTAAGTATTCACTCGAAAGACCCTTGATTCAGACGTCTGCTGCCGATTTATTTCAAGTATATTGCACCACCGAATGCGTCTAGACGTCTACTATAAAGTTTGCTGCTATATTAAGCTTTGAATATTGTAGTGTAAGTCTAGAAAGTTTTTTCCTATAAATCATTGAAGTATTACAAAGAAAAAGTAAATGAAGAAACTTTGAGTAGTTATATTTAAGATACTCCATTTAAATATTTCCTATCGTTGGCTATTATATTAATTCTTGAAAATATAGTATAAATATATTATGCAATAATAGGCTAATAAAAAATGTGTAGATAGTTAAACAGATTTTGAAAAATTAGTGTTTTTCTCGCTCCATAAAAAATTCGTAATCTAATCTTTCTAGTTCGGACATTACAGTACAATGGTTGTGGCACGTACCTATCAATGATTCAAAATGTTCTTTCATGTTAAACAAATTATTCGCTCTGAACACTATAGCATTATCTGATACTGGATCATTGAAATGATATTCTACATACATTCGCTTTAGAACAAACATTCAGTTACTTGTAATATTGCTTTTCATATTTTGACATAGCGATAAGAATCATTGCTAAATTATTATTACGAAATTTCTATCACAATTGTATTTATTAAAAAAAAAAGAGACCGTCTCAATAATTAACTTAAATTTTTCGCTGAGCCTTGAATTGTCTTAATCTGTCGATCTATCGATTTTCTCTTCCTTGAGTAATCTAAAATCCATTTTTTAAACAAAACTTTAACAGAGCACAATTTCCAATTTCCAATTATTACGCGATTTAAAAAATTTTTAATATTCCTTTACTTGAATCTCTAACTAAATTAAATTCAGAGATAGAATAGAAAGTACATTTTACATGCGCCGCGTTTTTTGATCGGGAGAATTAAAAGCAAAAAAAAAAACATTTTTCAGGAAGCGACATGGCATCCTCTGGAAGCCGGATCCGTCCGAAATACGAGCACCCCTTTCGCGGGTGTACCTCAAGACTGCGTCGTGTCGCCGCCATTATCCAAGGATGGCGAGTCAGATAATAACAACTCAGGGACGGGCGATTTGATGTACTTGAGGCATCTGGAGCTAGAGCCAGTCGATCCGTTGACAGGCCTGCCTCTGCACCCGGGTTTTACCGCGAAAGGCGGCAGAACGCCCTGTACTATCACGAGAAGGCTGATAAGGCAAACCTCGGTCAATCAGGCCAATCAGGTGTGTTTTACAGCAGTTTTAAATTAAAACACGAGTAGACACGAGATAGAAATTGCTAAATTATACACTTTTCCTTTCTACACGGACGAGATTATAGCACATCCACATATAATGTGTAATGAAAAGAAACGTGATTAAAGCCAATTTAATATTTACTCTACTGACATGTCTATCAATGCTTAATTAACTTTGCTGACCAAATATTTTATCGTTCATTTGTCAGATCCCATGGGGATTTTCGTTGTCGTGGGGCAGGCCACCGCGAGTAGAACGCGTGGACTCGGGAAGTCCGGCGGATCGTTCCGGCTTACGGCCGGGTGATCACGTAGTCTTCGTGGAGACGACGAACGTCGTGACGAGACCACGAGATGAAATTCTGGGCCTTATCCAGGCCGCCACGAATCAGCTGGTGCTGGAGGTGCATCGTAAAGGAGGTGCCCAATCGTCCAGTACCCACAGGCCTAGCTCAGTGAACGCCACTCTTCAGCCCACCACCGTCGCCGGTCCCAACGTACCGGTCCAGCATACGGTCACGTTCAGCGCCGAGGTCGGTACGGGCGTCCTCGTGTGAACGTTACCCGTGTAGCGGTATTGATAGTTACATATTCATCGGTATCTTGATTACGAAGAAATATCGCGTGAAATAACGATAATTACATGAAAATTGATGTGTGATGACGCTGTCAGTTATTCGGGATACAAAACTCTCCATTCTCCTGTAGGATTTAAATGTATCTCGGATTCTTTCCGACAAAGTATTTGCATCTTTAAAGTTTGATTCTTGAGAAGATTGCTAATTTTGTAATTATACTCATAATTTAAACATGTTCCATGAAAGATATTTTAAAATCAGTTAAAATATACCTATAAGTAAAAAGTAAACCACTCGATCCGAAACAATCATATAAAATCACTATGATCAATTGTTAGTAGTTATCACAAGCGATACTATCTGATGATTTAAGATACCGACGAATAATATACTACAGAATAGAGAATACCGCTACTAGAGTGTCACTAAAATTTATGTTCGCCATTGAAGCATAATTACGTGGATCGTAAACTAATTGAAGATTGAAAGTGTGTTAAAGAAGCTCCCATTCTAATAAAATAATCGATCGGGCACAGAAAATGCGTCGAATATTTAATTGCAACATGAAAAGACAATCTCCATAGGCGGGATATGTTGTTCAATTATTCTCAACATCGTAGAAAAAAAAATATATATTTTTTAATTGCTATCGATATGCTGAATTGCGTCGTCTCTAAGTGTTAAATGCTACTTTACAAAACATATAAACTTGCAAACGTGTCTGATAATACACTTTTTTAGCATGAGTATCGTTGCAGTAAATCTTATTTCAAACAATCAGATAGATGTGTGAGAAATTAACACAGCTCGAGTGATACGATGCACTGCAAGATCTAATTCTGCAAACTCGCTTTTATGATTGCTATTGATACTCTGGAGATCGCGGTATCTGGCAAATGTATAGTCAACCGCTTTGTAAAATTTTGACTCGTTTACTATTACTTTTCGAAGACACTTGTAAATCAAAAACGCGCCAAAATCTAATGCTAAATTATATATATTTAGGTCGAGAAATTTTATATTTTTATGAGGATCATTATAGCGGGAATATGCGAATTTGTTAGACGCGTCATCAGCGTGCGTTAAGAGCTTATTTTTTTTTTCGTTTTCGTCACAAGAAGAGTGCGAAGAGCGTCACACACCTCTGTGTACATTGTTTTTTTTCTTCTCTTTACTTTCTTTGTACTTTACTTGTAGCGGAACGTATAGTGTATAGCGCGCGCATCTTTCACGTGAGAGATGCCGTTTAAGTTATGATGCGGTTATGTTTTGTACCTTGATCAGGTTGCTCTTTTTTGTTGCCAACAAGTTTTGTTTCCAACCATGTGTTCTGTTTATTTATTACATCCCTGCCACCCTCATCCTGCGATTTTAAGTCATCACATATTCTAATAAGTTTGATCACCAAATCATTTTAACTTACTTATCATTGTAAAAATTAATTTCTTATTCATTGCACAGCAAAGTATTTCTTGTCTCATTATCGACACAAAAATTCTTAAAGTCTGTTTACATTATTTCATGTCAAATTATAGGGCAAAATTAAAAATAAGATATTCTTTGACATTATTTCAAGTACTCTTCAATATTATTATCAAAAATTATTCTTATCTTTATGTTTAATTATTTTGTCCGTTCTATAATATACACTATTGATCAAAGAATCTCACTTCTTATGTTATGCAATCATTAATAAGTGTCACAGTCTTCTACCTCTACATAAATATAAATTACGAGCTTTGTCTCAAAATGACGAAACGCGAAAATTTCCAAAATATCAAAATATGCGTCTATTTTGATTCCCTGTGAAAAATGGTCAAAAATCTTTTCGCGACTCGTTCAAACAGGTCTTTCCGAACCTGGCGCCTGACGCGTCACCCGAGGAGGAGTTAACTGTACGTGAGACCAGGTACTGGGGCGTCCTGAAGAGCGGCCACACACGCTTTATGATCCCGCTGCTCGAGCGACGAGATGTCCTGTCGGCGGCGGACTATCTAATCCTTTTCCAAAACTTGGACGAACTGCTCAAATTGTCCGAAGAAATCAGGGACGAAGGCGGCGGTGTCGACAGCTATCTCTGTAGAGTTCCTAAAATCACAGCTGCCTACCGAAGATACCTCAGTGGCCTACAACGTGCCTGCTGCCTGCTGGTCGCTCTCAGACGGAACGCGGCCTTCGCCAAGCTGGTCTGCGAGCCCGCTGTGCCGCATAAACGGCGCCCCGATCTCACCGGGGTGTTGCTTCTACCCTTAGAACACTACAGGTTGACCCTTCATAAAGAGTTCTAATTTGCTTGTCAATCATTTTTATTTGGTAATAATCATATCTTGGTACGAGACAAAGCTCGGCTAAATTAAAACGCAGTAATTAAACAGTGATACACATGTATTTCTGACGAAGTCAGTATTGTCAATACAAAAAAGTTAAAAAATCAAGAAAATAATTTATTCAATCGCAACGAGCTACTTTTATTTTATTTAAAACTTCTTTGTTTCTTAGTACTGTTACAATTGTAGTTATGTTTCAACTGAAAGATAAACGATTAATAAAATTTATAATTGGTGGTATTTGTAATCTTGTTATCATGGTAAAAACTTTCGTATTTTTAATCATTCTCGATTTTCAAGCATACCCTTGCAATGCAATAAAGATCTATGTATCTCTATACTTAATGTACTTAATGATAAATATTACTGAAGGATTATTGATTTAAGGTTTAAGTAACATTTTAATATACTGTAACTTGTAGTTTTTTTTTTTTTTTTTTTTTTTTAATTTTGTGACACTGTGTCTTATTTAAAACCTCATATTCTCTCTTTCAAGTTGAAAAACTTGAATAATTTGTATTAAAATTAAGAAAACTACAAAGAATAATCCTTAATGTAAATATAAAGTAATTTCTCACGACGTTTGTAGCACCGAAAAAGAGAAAACCGTACCGTTTTTGTAGAAAATTCATGCTTGCAGAGAGATGACGAAATTGTTGGGCCAGGCGTCACCGCGAAATTGCCAACAAGCAAGGGACTTGGCCCAGGGTTATAGAGAAGCTACAGCTAACGCGGGTGTCATGGAACCACCGCGAGACACCGGAAGGCCCCTATTAAGTTTACAGGAAGTAGAATCTCGATTGGTATTCGCGAGATGCAAGCCGTTTACCTTAGCGATGCCGGGAAGACGATGGTAAGTTTTACAATGGTTTTTTTAACTTCTTGAGAATTTCGTGAACAATGTTATATATATGCAACTTCATTTAAAACAAAATTTCAGTAAATTAAATTTTCAATGACTCATATTTTGTTTGTATTTTCGTAAAAAATAAAAATTTATGATAAATATCGATTTGTCAATTATTATTTATTTATTTCGCTTTTGAGATTCTGTAAAATTAAATCGGAAAATATGTAATAACTTGCGCGATCACCAGCCATTTTAAAATTAGCCATATTCGAATCTATCGTTTTTAGGCTTTTCGGCGGAGCTCTCGCTAAGGTCGAAGGTCGAGCGCGTCTGCAACCGTCCTGGGCGCTGCTGTTGACTGATCTTCTAGTGTTCGCGCGGGTATCGCGAGACCGCGTGCTCTTCGTCACCGAAGAACCTTTGCGATTATCCAGCATCGCCGAGGCATGCTTCACCGTGCGAAAGAGACCGACGGAGTTTCGACTGCAGGTCGCCATACACCCGAACGGCAGCGTGGACAACGGTCACGCCGAGACGATAAACAGCGGCGGTTGCAGCCCGCATAGTCGACCCCGAAGACGCGTTCTCATTCTTCGAGCGCCCACCCCGGAGCTCAAGGCCGTTTGGCACAATCTTCTTCAACGGCAAATGTGAGTGGCGGGCTCGTCGGCGCGAAAGTACGCATGTGCGCCTGGCGGAATATTTTGTCGGGAATCGAGGTGTAAGCGAAGAACCGCGCGGATGGACCGAGTAGTATTCATGAGCATCCATTTTCATTGCGTTTTAGCATCTATGTGAATACAGGCTGTGGCTTGGGCTCGTCGGATCAGGACAGCCCCGAAGAGAGTCCAGTTGCCGGCAACAATTTCGCCGCGAGTAGAGAATGCTTGGAAAGTTCGCAGGTCAGTGAAAAACATGACGACAGTTGTGATATCATTCAAAACTAGCCTGATATACCGTATATATTTTTGGAAAAAAATTATTATCCACGTAATATCACCAAAAAAAAACACAAGATGAAGAAACGAGATTAAATTAGAAACTAAAATCATCTTGGATTCAAGCGTCAATTTTTTTCCAAAATTCCAAAATTGACGTCTATATATAACAGATCACGAGAGAACCTCGGCAACCTAACGAGGAGGAGAAGGAGTCTCACTCCGGCGAGATCCTAGAGACGATCTTGAAGAACTCTCGGGAGAACAATCACCTAGCTCAATGGGTGCGCAATTCGCACCAGATCCCTCCTCCGGATCACGAGGGTTCGTTCGAGGAATGGACGGCCGAGGAATTGGCGGCCAGAACCCCCCGAGAGAGCAATAGCCGGTCGACCAGCCAGGACACCGCGACGGAGGAGGTCACCACGGCGAATTCCGACGTGGAGCAACAGAGCACCGCGTCGAGCGCAAGTTTAAGTACCGTGAAATCGAACAGTATGACGCGGAAAAACGGCAGTCACGTGCCCACGAAGGAGAACTCCACGGGCTCCATCAGCATTTGCCGGAGATGTCATAGGTGCTAATTTTGACGCGCAATCAAATTCGAATGTTTATTAAATACTCAAATAGTTTATATCTTTTTAAAATCTTTTTGATATTCCAAAAAGTTCTTCATTTTTAATCCATTCTATGACTATATCTGTATCTGTTGTAAATGCAAGCTAGGCCGAAAATGTTTTTTGATAAAATACAGGATCTAAAAATTGCTGTTAATTTTGTTAAGCGATTATAACAGCCGGCTGTAATCGCGCATTACAGATCGGGTTGTCCTACGCCGCCGTTGCAAAGGGACCCGTTTTCCCCGTTGCCACCAAAGATCTCGGTTCTTCCACCGACTCCCGATTTCTGCACGAGGCACAGACTGCGAAATGGACTGCACGATAGCCCAGGACGTAACAGTCCTAGTTACACGCCTGCGGATGGTAACACCGAGGACGGCAGCGAGGACGACCTCGATTGTGACGGAGAACCCCCTTACAGGTACGATAAATTATAATTAATTATCAGAATAATTATTTTCCAAATTAATTTATAATTGTCAGAAACATCGATATCAAGATTTGCCTCTTCAGCTATTGAAGGCAAGAGAAACAGAATAAAAAACAAACTTGTTTAATCCCATATATTCAACTCGACATTCAACCAACGTTTAAATTCGATGAAACCATTATGATTACTAATAAAGAACTTATTCACGCTCGATCAAAGCATAAGGTAATATTTTTCGAGCAATAAAAAATGTTAGCTTGTCAATTTCGGTCGATTAATAAACACGAGTTTATTATAAATAAATATTTTCTAACATCCTTTATAACAATAAACACTAGTTTTTTATAAATAAATATTTTCCAATATCATTCATTGCTCGAAAAATTGGTCGTTTTCTATATTATTACATTATGATTACTCATCATTTATTGATTATTTAAATCGATAGCCTTGAAATTGTAAGATGCCACATTTTCACTCACTTGGCTCTTCAACAAGATTTAATTGAAAGCGACTATTCGATATTTTTCACGTTTATAACGACTGTTCTCGCGCAGAGCTTTGAGACGTTTTGGTACGATGAGTAGCCTGGATCAAGACGACGAGTTGGATGAGCAAGGGGACGACGACAACCGGGACTCGGAATCGCCGCCATCCGGCTTGAGAGCGTGGACTGCCCGAGCGAGCAGCTACGTCGTCAGCAAGATGGTTTTGCTGGAACAGCTCAGCGAAGGTGTCGGCGGTTATCTTCTTCAACCGCCGGTACCCCCGGAGCGAACCGAGTTCTCGCTGGACCCAAACGACGAGGAAGGTACCACGTCCGGGGCGACTTCCGGCGACGATATATGGGGCACGCCAACCTCCGGCGGACCGGACGACGAAAGTTTCACCGCTAATTCGGTAATAATGTTTGTAACTACAATACACGATATCCAAAAGCGATAGCTTAGAAGCACAGTAAACCAAGTCCTAATATTATGAAGGATTTTATCGCGTATCAAGTGATTAAGATTGACAAATCTATTTCCAAATCTCAACACATATTTTATGAAATGGAGATTTCGTATTAAAAGACTATCATGAGCCATCATATGCTCCATATTTTTTAAATATAAATCTAAAGCTTAGAAATAAATTCTTCAGTTTACAAAGAAAAGAAATCAGTTTAAGTTTTTAAAATAATTCAGTGCAATATTAATTTATAAATATTTCTAAGCTAAATAATACGTAAGTTTTCGATAAAAATTGTTTGTTACAATATGCATTATAAATTATCGTAATGATCACTTGATACGTATCAATACTTTCATATAAGCTTGCTTGAAAATAACATCTAGCTCTGAAGCATTAACTCATTTGAATTGCACTCTACATTAAAAATTGCAATCGCATTTATTTTGAAAATGGTTTGTAATGGAGTTTAATGGACAAAACGTAATGTACACGATAATTCGACGAAATCTTTGCGACATTTTATTGTTCCGGGGACCGCAGGTCATATTTATTGCCCAGATTTTTCGCTAAATGCGACTGCCTTGTTTGAAGTAGATAAAACCACAGAATCAGATAACCGCACCTAGCACTGAACATGGAATACGAATCACGGACATCTGTACCTAAATCAGGGGATTTCTTCATCCTCGATATAGGCGTGTGTGTGACGCGGGAATGCAGCGATAAAAACAGGATAGAATAAGCTTCGCACGCTTGCCTGCATGACGACGCTTGCCTTCTGTTTTTCTTTTTGCAAAGAATCACTAGCCCGAGCTGTGCCTGACTTCCCTAGCCGCCGCCGAACGGCTGCAGCAGCAGCGGTGGCGCGGTGGGTGCCATCGGTGCCATCGGTGAGGACAATTACGGCCTAAATCTGTCGGTGGACGACGATGTCGATCCGGAATCGGAGAATGAAGATTGCTCGTTGCCGGAGCTGAGTATGGACCAGTTGTTGAGCGGCAGCGGTAGTCTGGGTTCGCTGCGCTGCTTCCTGGGTAGGAGGCGGCTGGAGCCGCTGCCGGAGGAGGAGGATTCGCCTGGCAGCGGCAAGCACCAGGTCGGATGGTGGTGACAGCGGTTTCAGACGGCGTCCAAGTCGAGCGTCGGTGCGAACGCGGAGGCTCGTGACCGCGTATTCGCCAAGCTGAGTCAGGAGGACGAGGAGTTTCGCCGGAAAATCGTCGATTTGCATCGCAAGCTGTCGGACGTGGACGCGGATGTGCCACCGGAAACGGCCGGTTCGCCCAATTCCCGGAGTTCCGAACGTCTGAGGGAGTTGGAAGCCGTCGCGAGAAGAGCGGAGGAGACCAATTCCCGCAACGCCGAGGAGAGACGGGAAGCGATGCGGAGGGAAGACTCTATCGAAAGTGACAGGAGAAGACCTAGAGGCCGAAGAGCCGATCAGCTGAGGAGATCGAGGAGGTTCGAGGAGGAGTTCGACGATCAGAATGGGAGGGCGAGTCCGTCCAGCGCCGGTGAAACAAATTTTCTGAATAGACTAAGGCTAAAGAGACGGAGCATGAAGCTACTGAGCTTTCTGAGCGGGAAAGCAGCGGACAGATCGCAGGAGGAGAGAGCAGCGCGACTACTGAGGCTGTACATGCCGGATAGGGGCGGCGCCAGGACGACGCAGAACACAATCTCGATTCATCACACGTCGAGAGACAGGCGCTTCTGGAAACTGCGTAATCGGAGACGAACCAGTTCCGCGTAAACTCATCGGAGTCGCCGTTGGGCGATGCTTTACTCGTGGGTCACACTTGTTGCCGTCGAGTGTATGAGCGATCGTGTCGCTCCGCACGAAAAAACATGGCTATCGGGGTATCACATTTTGCAACGAGATCGTTACGCAATAATTATATTATTCGTCGTCGAAATTTCAATTATGAATTAGAACGTAACACATTAACGGTTTATCTAGATAGCATTAAATTCCTGTAAAATCGTGTTAGTTTGAAAAAACATTATTAATATATAAAAATGTATCAGTAATATTAATACTGGGGAAGCTACGTAATAATATGATTCCTGTGTGATAGCATAGAGGAGGATTAGAATTGCTTACAAATTACATTTTAAAATGACACTGTAAGAGATTGATAAGATTTGACACACGAGTAAACCGTCGCTCAGAAAACTGTACATTAAAAAGAAAAAGAGATCGCGAGGATGGGGAATCGAAAGAGAAACGGCAATCACTGTCTCTCTGTTACTAGGACTTCCAAAAACATTCGCGTTTACCGAGACTTTTTGAATTCCGCTCGTGCATGTACGAGAGGCCGAAGTTGTTTTCATAGAGTGGTAGTAGTGAATACGAATAGCTGAGACATTAGTTTAACTGCAGTTCCAATCTAGTTCACTTCTTAGTATCGCAAAGGAGTAAAAGTCGCAGTTGGTCCTTAACGCGGTGGCAATGGAAACACAATTCCAGAATTAGTCGGTCGAGTACAGTTTCAGAACTGCGCTATTAGTACGCTTGCTAAACCTCGCAGGGACAGAGAATGTTCTCTGGGCACGGCCTAGCGAATCGTTTCCGGATCGTTCGAGCTGATCGGCGGCATGATGGGCAGTTGGAATCGGCGAGTTTTGCTCGCGAAGTGTAGATCTTCTTCTGAATTTCGACTCTTTTTTTGGAACACTGTATCTAAGTAGGTCCGCACGACTGACCCAAAGCGGCATTTATCTTCCACTTATACTGGGTGTCCCGCAACAAGCTATCTTTACGCGAGGTTGAGACCATTTTATGTCAAGGAGATAAATATATCTGAGGGAGGGCGGCTGTGATATAATAATAATAATATTAAAATAATTTAATTTAAAAAATCAAAGTAATATTAAATTTAATTTAAGTTTATATTATTATTACACTACAGCCGTTATTATTGTGCAATAACGATCTAATGACGAGTCCTGAATTTAATCCTAATTGAATTCAATGTAAGATTATACATACATATATTGCAAATCGGAATCTAACATTTATATTTGAACTTTTTGACTAGAAGTCAGGAAATCCATGATTGAGATAATGAAATCTTATTGCAGGGCATCTTTTAGATTTTGCTCCCGCCTGCTAAAGGTCCCAAATCCACTGGGTATGCAGATTTTAAAATTGGAGTCTACTCTCATCGATCACATTTACTTTAACGAGTATGTGTCGCAAAGAGTCATCATCCGCTACTTCATTTGTCATTAATTTTCAGCATTATATATATTTCATGAATTAAATTTTGGAATAAAGTTAAGAATAAAATCTCAATTAAAAAGTGTTATGCAACCTGGGGATGTGGGACGCTTTAAACAGACTAAGAATTAAATAAAACACTAAAATTTTAACATTATTGTTAGTAGGTTGTAAACTGGTCGATTGACCGCATATGCAAAATATAAATAAAACTATATTATTTGTTCAACCGTTTTCTCCGTGTCTCTTGAAGCGCAAAATTACTATCTTTCACACGAATATTATTTTTCATACACTGACCGTGAATTTTTAACTAACCGTGAATTTCTTCCTTACGATACTATACAGGGTATTTCGAAAGTTTTTTCTCAGGAAAGGAATTCCCACCGGGGATTGCCAAAGGATTATTTCAAGATGTTCCTTCATTGACAGATTAATCGCTTATTAATAAGTATTTATTTTTATTATTGAATTCAATATCTATTACATAGGACGTCCTTGTAACCACTTAAACCTCAGTTTGTCTTGTATAAGATCGCGATTCAGTTTCTTTGGATCGTTCACAAACTTTTCCACGGCTTCCTCGCGAGCAGAATCTACTTTCGGTATAACATAAAACGTGCCATTCTCGTGTAAATATGTGCCATTTAGATCGTCCATGGTTGGCAATTTGTCGGGTAACTTTATGGGAACGATCTTTATCAGATGCTTCACCTTCCAGAGCATGGCACATATCTCTGGCGTGTTTTTTACGATCACCGGAGCATTTGCGTGTTTCTGTAAGACGATTAAGCGAATAAAGAATTTGTCAAACACCACCCTATGCCTTTACGCCTACAACTTTGACTACCTTATTTATGAAACCTAATTGCTCGAGCATCTCTTTCTCCCACCAAGGATTACCCGCAAAAGGCTTTACCCGCGTTACTAATAACACCTTGCTCGGCTTGATCGGTGGATCAACGTAATCTGGATGTCTACAAATATGTCGTTGAGTATCCAAACCAGGAGTAACAATTGTGAGTTCACTAATCACGAGTTGCCTTAATCCTTTCGAAATTCAAAATACAATTTTATCCAGTATTGAACAATTTGTCAGAATTTAAAAATCCAAGAGTCTTCCCTGTTTATTTTTAGACTGCGGTCCACTTGACGCTACAAATGCTTTGGAGTGTCCTTCTTCTCCTTCTTTCTTCATTGAAAGAAAAGAGAAGAGGAATGCCTCGAAGCATTTGTAGCATCAAGTGAACCGCAGCCTTAGTTACATAAATATGTCAGGAATCGTTTCAAACTTAAAATAAAATTTTATTTTTAATTTTGAGCTTGACATGTAAAGAATGAATTATGATTCAACGTTGGAACATTTATAATGTGCTTCGCGATAAATATATTGTTTCTTTCGTAACTTATAAACAGCGGAACTGCTTCGAAAGGATTAAAACACAAAAATGCTATATAATATAACCTCATACCTTGGAAAATACTTAATGGCTCCAAATTTCATTCCCTCGAGATTACCCTGCGCATCTTTCCATTTAACTCTCCGTTTCGTATAATGACGTACAAAATTCAAAAAAATGGGTGCGCGAGTCAACTTAGTTGTCATGTTGCAACTAAAAGTTAAAACAATCTTGAGATAAAAATCTGTGTACGTAACACGTATAGGTTAGAGTTGGGTTAGAGCCAAATTGTCTTTAGACTACGTAAATGTCAATAACGTTGTATCGTCGTGTCGTAGCTTAAATAATTGCATTAATCTCAAATTTATCCGATTACTTACGTGTACATTGCCATTTTTGCGCGCGCGTTTATTTATTAGAAGTAATATCAGGCAACTTGTATAATAAGCGGACTGCTTTTTGGTAATTCACGCATATGACTGCTGTGTGGCGCCAGCTGGTGCGTATCAAAGGGAAGCCAGTGCAGAAATTTTGTGAACGAGCAACATCTATAGTTGAAAGAAGAACCTAACGAATTCAACTTTACCAACCAGAGAATTACAGAGAAGAGAGAACCCATCAGAGACAATTGTTGATGATGTTAAAGTGAACAATACGAGGGCTGGATTCGGGGAGCGCGCTATTAGCGCTATTTGCTTATTCTATCCTTGTTTTACATCTGATGAGCAATAAAGACAGAATGATGCAATAGCGCTAATAGCGCGCTTCTCGAATGCAGCCGAGATGTGCATTCGATCATGAATCTCGAAATCGAAATCTTATTTGCCCCGTTTGTTTTAACCATTTTTTATTTTAACGTAAATATTTAATTCAGGGTTTCTTATTGTTAGTAATTTATCTGAACATTTAAATGAGAAAATTATACATATGTTAGAAATTGTTAAGTAGAAAAATAACTGAATATGAGATAGAAAGCGTCTTGTTTATAGCGATAATCAATGAATGCAGATAGACTTCAAAAGAAAGAACCGTGACCTGAAATCTAATTTGACTCGCATTTTATCGAGGACGAACGCTATCGGATATATGATGTAAAAGATCACGACCTAATAGATTTTTCGCCGCTGGTTTTCTTTCGCACTATTGTACGTGTGTTAGATTTAGATTCTCATTCATTCGAAGATTATGAAAGAAAGGCCGAAATGAGTTTATTATATCTTATTTTAAGATTTTGTAGAAAACAAAATATTTACCAAATTTAATTAATAAAATAAGTATAAAACAAAATATCTAACTGTGTATAATTAGCCACAAAAATCTAATATAATAAAAGAACAATTTTTTTATACGTTATATGTTATGTATATTAATATAAAAATTGTTATATAGAGATATTTCAACATACATCGCATAAAATATATTTGATGTACTAATATTAATGATTCCACGTAATAATTCGAAAAAATAATAAAAAACAAGTTGGAATATAGAGAAATGGTTTCTACTCTTCCCTTTCCTATGTATACATATTTAACTTCCTTGTAAAAATTTACAATCGCTTAAAATTATGGTAAAATTCTGCAATCACTGTAAACTTCTCTCTTTCTTTTTCTCTTTCTGCTATATTTTCTTGTATTTATTTAATCTTTCTTTTAATTTGTAAAAAAATATAATATTCTCTCATTTTAAATCTTTAGTTTTCTCGATTATCAGGGTAAAATTTAGCCTTGTGAAATGATGAATGTAGCAAATTAGTAAACACAGTTAATCTAATATATAAGCAGAGTTAAATCATATTCTCGCTCGATTAAGCCATTTTCCAAATTTTACCTCATTTTCATCCCGTTCCGCTTCATTGTGCAATATAATAATATGCACTCTATTAATAAATCGTCGGTCATGCATGTGATAACGACAAATAATGGAAACGGCCGCGATTTTATTCCAAACTAAATTTACCAAACGGCACACGAAGAGAAACGATTTGTCGGCTTATAAATTTATTAAAAATGCCCATAAAAATTCGACATGGCAGAAAAAAATCAATATCGACGCCGAATCCACATGAATTTAGCATTTATATTCCCTAATAGATTTCTCGTCGAACGAGCATCCATTGCCGCCAATTATATCATCGCTGAACCGATGCTCAGAGCCGCGCATTGTCGATGGGCAATTTATACGCTTGAGAAAAAACTATTGCCGGAAAAAGACCGTGACGTTTTTTACGGCCGTTTAAATCGTCGCGAGGGACGACGAACGAGCAACAGTTGCAAAAATTTAACGGCGGAATGTACTCACCAATTGCGATGTAGCTGCTCTGCTGTCCCTGCAACCCGATCCTCCCGCATTCCGATCCTGGTCCTCCCCGTCCCGCCTCTCCCTCTGTCACGTCGATTGCAAATTGCGGAAAAACAGCAGCTATATTACATTCGCGAGCGCGTTCGACGATCGCCCGTCACTTTGCACGGCACTCTCGACGACATCCCGAACATTTGAAACGCTCGAGTCGCGAGAAATTCGAATTGCACTTCGCGGCAACTTCGCGCCGATGCGATGCGCGAGTCGCAGGTCGTAGAGCATTCTTCCGTGGAAGGACGCATCTGAGGATCGACGGTAGCGGTTATTCTTAACCTTAACAATTTCGCGAATGCTCGATAATCGGCACGCGCCGCGCGATTCGCACGAGACGAATGATATAACCCGGCGTCTTGACGAAGGCGAAGACGCCTCGTTGGACCGACACATCGCGACGTATATCACAATAAAAGATTCACAGAGTTCACAGGTATCGCTATCGATCGCGATCATTCCGCGGCGATTAACACCTCGCGGCAACGCCTGGTCGCTCGTCGTGGTCGTACTCTCGATGCTCGATCGTAATGAGAAAAACGGCACCCGTTCGCGATGGGAAAAACACGGTGCGAAACGCGGAGCGGCCCAGCCGCGGCGTTTGGCTCCGAGCCGTCTCGCGACAATGCGAAGTTAGCCGACTACGTGAGCCAAGAGAGATAGACGGGCGCACGACTTGGATCAAAATTCAAGTTAAAGATTTCTATAATTGCGAAGGGCTCGCGTAATAATGCATAAAATACCGATGTTATTTTGATGTTTAAATTGTAATAATTTATATCTTATTTGATTGCTTACAACTTACACTTTAACTACACTGGCGATCACGTAACAATATCGATCGCTGGATTAATAGGTATTAGAATGAATCAGAGGGTATTATATTACATTTCACGATTTTTGATACAATTTTACCGCGTCGCGCTCCGACTCGCCGCCAACGTTGATTCCTGCTTTGACTCCGGTAGTGTCACCTGACGTTAGCCGCGCGACGCACGACGCACCGGCCCGGCCGTCGCGCCGCGTCTCCTGCGTATTTTTTCGAGCGAATTCCGTGCGCGGGCGAGAACTGAGAACTCGGAGTCGGATGTGCCTCGAAAACCGAGACGAGTGAGATTGGTGTGAGTCACGGAAGGTGGATATACACCTCGATTGAACCGTGATTCGTTGTCGTTGACAGTATCTCGGTATCGGCGACTTCGGCGAGTGGGCGAGTCGCGTAGCCGCGAGCCGACACGAAGTTGCCCACTGGCCGTTTCTGATTCCTCGTCGATCGGGAGCACCGTGCGAAACGATTGCCGTTGCTTCTCGCCGTTACGTCTTTTGCTCGTATTGACGACGCGCGTGCTTGTGTCTCGGAAGTGTCGTCGATCGACGCGAGATCAATTGTCGATCGGAAATGGAGCAGTCGACGAGGAGCAGCATATCGCCCGGTGAGTTAATCTATTTATTATTCGTGCGCGTTCGTCTAGGTTGTTTGCGACGATCCTTAACATTACATTTACTTAAATCATTGATGGAAAGTTTCAATTATTTTTGCGTCGCCTGTTGCGTTCCGTTATTATTATTGCTGCACTCTGCTTTTGTGTGAAAGCTGGGTATAATTTTTAGGTTATAATTGTTACGCATTACGCCGCGTTTGCAGGTAGAAATATGTCGATCATTTCAATCGTCACGACGCGTCGTAATCTCATTCGGGCATAAAAATTATTTGATCGTCACTTGCGACGAAATTGTGAACTACCTTCTTTGTTATTATTATATCGTTAGCGTAAAAATTACGATTACATGGTTTAAATTATTATTACGCCACGTAAAAATGCAACAATTATTTTTGCAATTTTATTCGCTCGCGTAAAAGTACTTGAGGTTCTTATCGTTTTTATCATACGTGTGCGTATTTTCAGGAGGGCCTCGTGCAATTCCAATCAGATGAAAACTCGCGGAGCAACGACGGCCGTCAGCCCATCCCGTTATTCGCGAAGGGGGAAAAAACAACTTCGGTCGTTGGGAAACGGAGATGCGAAATATCCCGCGGCGGTAAGTCCGACTTGAGTTCGAAAGTTTCTCGTGAAAACTCATTTCCGCTGGGGCGATGGGACGCCTAAGGGGTTCGCGCGGTCCTCACGAAAAATATAGGAGCAAAGAAGAAAGGAGGAAAGCGAGGGAACTTTGTGCGCGCGTGAGAAACGGGCGCATCTGCATTTCGCAACATCTTTTAACGAACTGTGCACCATACGCGAAAGAGCCGCAAATGCGAATTTCTTTTTTCGCAATTGTAATGCTCTTTGCGATGTCTGAAACATTTTTATCTATATAGAGCAATTTAGTCTCGTCTTATTACACGAGTAAGTTTTTAGAAGAGACAATACTCCTTATCTTTTATTTAAAATTGGGATAAAAAATTTTAAGGATGATATAAGAAATATTCTGAAGTAAATCAGACGAGATATATGATAATTCAAAATGATATTATAAATATCAGAAAATTTATATACGTATACATTAATACTACTTTTCTTCTTTATACAAGCATTGTAGCAAATGTATCGACGTGTATAAATTTGTGATGCTCATCTTGGAACTATTACACGTCTTGTTTTATTTGCTTTAAAATGTTTCTATATGCTATTTTTAAAATTCTTTATTTTTCTACATACAAAAAAAAGTATTGCCATTTAAAAAAAAACCTTATCTATATATCTTCTCTCTCTCTGTCACAATATTCCAATTCTCTGCACTGCTACACAAATAAAAGATAACCTCGATGTCATACGACTACAATAATATTGCTTTAAAAATTTTCAGTTCTATTCTGAAGCTCTTTAGTTCATGCACAGGGAGTATAAAGAATTTCTCATCACATATATATATCTTTCTTCCTTTTCTGAAAAAGTAATTTTTAATTTATATTTCTCCTTTATTTTACGGTCTTTTACATACATAAGGTAAGTGAAAAGATCGCTTTGCCATCACGAATTATGAATATTGCTGTAAAAATTCCTTATTTGATTGCTAAACTACTTTAACTCAAGTACGAGAATGTAAAATATTTCTCCGTCCCGGAACAAAGCGTAACTTATTTTTATTTATCTTTCCTATATTGGAGATGCGAT